GTGAGGAGGAGGAGGCTGAGGGGAGCCCTCATCCCTCTCTGCAGCTCCTGACAGGACATTGCAGAGAGGCCGGGGCTGGGCTCTGCTCCCAGGGGATCAGGGACAGGACAAGAGGGAACGGCTGGAAACTGCCCCAGGGGAGGGTCAGGCTGGGCAGGAGGAGAAAATGTTTCACCAAAGAGTGGTCAGTGTGGAACAGGCTGCCCGGGGAGGGGGGAGTCCCCATCCCTGGGGGGGTTTCAGGGCCGTGGGGATGAGCTGGGGGGGATGTGAGGTAGGGGAGAGCTTTGTAGAGTCGGGCTGAGGGTTGGACTCGCTGATTCCGGGGGGCTTTTCCAACCCGAATGGCTCGGGGATTCTGTGACATTGTACCAAAGGGCTGGAGGAGACACCGCCCCGGGCAGGGATGTCAGTGCCAGCCCGCAGCTCACCAGGGTATCCCTGCCACAGGGCTTGACTCAACCTCTCCGACCTTTCCTGTGCCCGAGGAAATAAACAGTGAAGCGGGGGGGTGTTTCACCCCTTCCCGGTGGGGTCAGCTCTTCGACATATCAGATGTCCCAGTTTCGGACACTCTGGAAGCCGTGCCCCTCTCCCCAGCCTTCCCGCGCTCCCGCAGAGCTCAGCCGTGCCACCTCCCACAAACGGCCTCCACGCTCGGCAGGGCCCGTGGGCTCTGCAGACCTGACCTGCAGTGGGTTCACGTTGGCCACTGCCAGATAAGAACGTGACCTGCCCTCCCGGCCCTCAGGGCAGCCCGGCCCTCAGATCCCAGGGTCGCTCCCTGAATCCCAGACTCTTTACTGGGTGAGACTTACGGGCAGCAGGACTGGGTGGGCTTCGAGCTCCCCAACAGCAACAGAGTCCAAGCTGAGAGTGCACTGAGAGCTGCTCCTCCTCCTCCTCTTCCTCCGCCTCCTCCTCCTCTGCTATTTCATGGTCAGGGTAGAGCGACTTCCTGGCATTGCATTCAGCTTCTCACCAACCGTTAGGAAAGAGTCTCTGGTTTCAGGGGAGGGGGACTTCGGAGAGCCTCGCCTTGTACAAGTCCTCCCGCTTGGATGCCTCTGGTGAGGAGAAAGGAGGTGAGCACGCAGGAAAGCATCTGCTGATCGAAATGGTGAGTAAGAACCAGACCCGGGCTGTGCTCGACCTGGGGACAGGGTGCGGGGAGCAGAGCCGTGTCTCCTGCTTGGAAGGGCTGTGGCAGCATCCTTGCAAGGGGCTGGATCCTGCTGAGACCCTCACTCCTCTTGGAAGACAAAGTCCTCCCGGATGTCTGAGCTGGTTGGAGCTCCAAAGATCTCTGACCCATTCCTGGGCTCAGTGCAAGATTTGCTGGGTGACGGGCTGGTTGTAAACATCTGTGAAAGAGAAGGAGGCCACAGCCTGCCACTGAGTCTAGGAGAGCACCCACCGGTGCAAAATATATTGAAAAAGCTGGAATTGATCGTGGTGACAGCAGTGCTGTAACCCACAGGTACACCCGAGGGCTCTGTGCAAGTCCCAGCTCATGGAGCGGTTCCAAAATTGATGGTGACAAACCTCCGAACCATTCAGGTGCCCCAAATCCCAGCAGCGTATTTGGGAATCTGGAAAAAGTTGTGCTTTTTCAGTAGTTTGGGTGAAAGCCCCACTTCCTCGTGCGCAGGAAACAGCGAATTCGTGCTGCCTTACCACAGGCTATGCTCACAGTGCTGCGTGTGCAGCATTTACCAGGGAAGTTGTGGTGACCGCCTGGGGATGTGACGGGAACTTGCACTTATTTAGGTATATACACATTTGAGCACTTATGTCTAGAAATATTGCACTAGGTGCTTTGCATACTAGCCCTTCGGTTGTGAAAGAAAAAAATTGTGCAAGCACAAACCCAAACTGAAATCCCAGAGGGATGAGAACTTCAAAATTGAAGCCTCTGGCTTGCCAAGGGCAAGGGAGCAGCCAGCTCCGGTGCAAAGGGACACTGGTCCAGGGACGAGGGGGTGGGAGAAAGATGGGGGAGGGTAAGATGATCCCTCCCATAAATTCCATCTGAGAATTTAGAAAAAACGTAACCCCAATCCCACCTGAGCGTTGTGCCGTACCTTAAACCTCACATTCTTCTTCCAAATGTCATTCGGCCTCCCCCTGGCAGCCTCTCTCTGGAGGCTTCAGATAAAAGGTGCTTTTTGGTCATTCAGGAAGCCAGGGGCAACTTTGCACTGGGGCCAGTATGTCCCAGTTCACAGTGTGAGCCACACAGGAAACTCTCTGGTCAGAAAAGTAGGGCAGGTCTGCCGCCCCTTGGCCGCCGCCTTTGCGCGCGGGCTTTGGCAGGGTGAGGCTCAGCAGCGCTGCCCTGGGTTTTCCTCCAGGGAGGGATGCTGATGGCTCCGGGGGCCTCCCCCACCAACTCCTGCCCCACTGCCCCAGGTTCACCACGGACTCCATGGGAACTAGGACCAGGGCAAGGCAGGTTGCTCTTATCTGAGCCCTGGGCAATCTCTAGATCTCAGATTCTGCCCTCAGGAGCTTTGCTGCTAGTAGGGTGTAATACCGCACCCAGTCCTTCTGTTTTGGTGGTCCCTGGTAGTGGAGGAGGGGTAGATCAGACCAAAAGACTCCATGAAACACCTCCTGGGTGTCCTTACGATGGTGGGACTTGTTCCCAGTCTGGTACAGCCCAGTCTTTCTCAGACACGTTCCAGGACCGCTTTGATCAAAGACCGTGTTTCACAGAGGAGACTTAGTGTCAGGCCATGTTGAAGAAGTACTGTGTTCCCCAGGGGGGGCTTGGGTTCATTTTCCTCCGTGGTGTTTTAACTGGAACTTTTCTTAATGGTCACAGACACATCTGGAGGGGAAAGAGGCCGTGGTGAGGCACCTGCGGGCAAAGCTCCAAGGGAACAGGAAAGACCCTCCTGAAGCGGGCGGCTGGCCAGAGAGTTGCTCTGCAGCATCCCCTGCAAGGGAGCCGGGACAGACCCCCACACCGGGCCCCAAGGGCGAGCCGCCTCCAGAGCCCCCCCGGGCCAGGAGGGTGGACTTCAGCAGGGCTTCTCCGTCTCACAGGAAAGGTCAGAGTGTGGGACAGCATTTCCCTCCCCATCCTGTCGGTGAGACCCCAGAATGGATGCTGCGATTGAAGAAGGGGATTGCTCAAGACGCCAGCATCCACCCAGCCCCTGCAAGGCCAGGAGGAGGAGACGTGTTGAACAAGGAGGTGGGAGCCACCTCCAATCCCCCCCCGAGAAACTCAGCCCAGCAGACACGATCGCTTATCAAAGACAAGGGTGCTCCAGCAGTTACTGCCACGGCTCGCGCAGCCTCCCTGGACACTGTGGGGAGTCCCCGTGGGACAGGGCACCCAGCTCCACCTCGGAGGAAGCCTTTGCCTCACAGCAAGGCGCTGGGAGTGAGGCCGGCCAAGCCCAGGCGCCCTCCTGTCGTGGATCTGGAGAAGTTCCGTGCACCTGCATGTCCTGGGACGCCTGTCCATCCTGCCACGGAGCCGCCAAGGAGCACTCACCTGGGTACGGCCAGGCACCTACAAGTCCTCCAGAGGAGGATGCCACTCGTTCAGGAAGGAAAATCTCCCCAGTTAGAGTCTGGAGTTCCTGGGAGATGGAAACACTGAGGAGAGGCAGGGGCTGGTAGTGAGAAAGGGGCTTCTGTAGGCATGGCATATGGGAAGGAATGAGAGAGAACAGCAGCTGAAGAAACGAAGGGGCCTAAGTGCCTTGTTCCTGGCCGGCAACAGGTATCAGGCTCTGGGCTGCTTGCAGGGAGTAGGGTTGGAGTAAGTAACATGAGGGATGTTGACAAACTGGCGTGAGCCCCGTGCAGGGCACTAAGATGTTTGGGGGTTGGAGCATGTGGGGGAAGAGAGGCTGAGACCCAGGTTTGTTTAGCCAGGAGAGGGGCTGAAGGGGAGGTCCTCTCACTGCCCACAGCGGCCTCACGGGAAGAGGACTCACTCCTCCCAGGAGTGGCCGGGAGCAGGACTGGAGGCAACGGCCATGAGCTGTAGTAGGGGAAGCTCCAGTCGGGTATTAGGAGAGGTCTCTCCTGTGAGAGCGGTGCAGCCCTGCTGCCAGCACCAGGGAGATGAGTATCTCCATCCTTGGAGATATTGTCACCTGGGTCAGGCCCTAAAGAACCTGCCCTAGCTCCGAGGCCAGCTCTGCTCTGCTCTGAGCAGGAGGCTGGATGAGAGACTCCGGAGGTCCAGCCAGTCCACCCTCATGTGGCTCTAGGAGCAGACAAGGCTGGCTGGTGGGAAGCGGAGCTGGTCTCCATCCCACGGGCAAGAAGCACTTACACACCCTTTGGCCACCAGACAGAGGGTCTCTGCAGCTGGCCGCACGCTGCCAGCCACGCCGCCTCCTCCGAGGCTGAGGGAGCCTCTGAGCCGTCCCAGGCACGGCCAGAGCTGTGGGCACGGTGCTGCCTTGGTGCCCTCCTCACTGACCGCCCGTGGGATGCAGGGCTTGGTGCCTCTTGGGCACGATGGTTCTGTTCAGCACCAGCCCTGCCACGCTCCACAGTGGCCTTCCAGATCTAGGCAGATTTGTGCCGGTTTCTGATAGCTGCCACTCTGCACTCTGGGGGGTGAAACCTGTTTCACATTCAGTTTCTTGCTCAGCTCCTCTAAGTTCTTGTTCACTGCCCTGTTTATAGCATGGCTCATGCCCAGACACGGGGTAGAGGGCAACCGTGAGAGCAGAGACTCTCTTCCGCTCCTTATGAGAACTGCAAAACCTGGCAGGTTTAGGTTATAGGGGGTTATTCCGTGTTAGCCCCCAGAGCTCACCCACTGGCACCAGCCCTGGCCCTGGGCTGAGTGGCCCTGGCAGAGGAGGGCATGATCTGCTCTCCATGTGTCCCACAAGCCACAGGTTTTCAAGTATTTAATTGTCTCATGGGTACCGAAGCAAGTTTGAACACCCCGGTTTGGTTATTTTTGTTAATTTTTAGGGCAAGTCTTACAATTTTTAGGGCCTGGTATATGACTGTGCGTTACTTGGTACAATAACCCAGCAAAGCTGCAATGTGGTACCATGGATCGTCATGCCAGCTGGTTGGTTTGGTGACCAGGCTGGTGATAAAAATAATGGGATCTGAGCAGGGATGTTGGTGTTCTGGTGATTGTACAAGGTGCTGATGATGCTCCTAAGCACATGGAGATATCCAGGACTTGTCCGGATTCTGGTACAGATCTGGAGTTTAGAGTTTTCACCACATTCAAAATACTCATTTTGGCCTCTTCCCCCCCCGCTCCGCCCCTTTCACCACTGGTCCAGGGAGGAAGCAACATTAGGGATGTAAGAACAGAAAAATATCTATTAAAGCCCCCAGTGAGCTCCCTGGCGAGCCATGCCCCAGTGTGCTGGGAGAGAAGAAAATCCCCAGGTGGGACATGGAGTAAAAACTCTTCACTAGGTCCAGAGGAGCAATCAGTTTTATCTCCCCGCATCCCTCTGCACTAAGTCTAGCCCCGGGGCGGTTCTGACCTCAGGGTGAGCGAGAGTCGAGGAGAAAATATGAAATAATCTCTCGCCGCTCTCTCCCATTCCTCTTTTTACCACAGGTTACCTGAAACCAGGCCATGTTGCATCAGATAATCTCTCACTGCTCCCTCCCGTTCCTCTTTTTGCTGTAGGTTACCCGAAACCAGGCTACGTTGCATCAGCCCCGGCGCGGTTCCCCCCGCAGACTGCTCCGAGTGTGGCTGGGTAAGGACCGAGGCCGCACGTTTATTCCGGGTGACTTCCAGGCTGTCCTGACCCAGTGGGAAGGGCACGAGGGGGAGCAGCAAGAGGATCCTTGGGTTCTTCTGCCTATTCCTGAGCCCGACATGGGGCAGCCCCTTGTGCAGGCAGCTGTGCTTCCCAGGCCGCATCACCGCACAGGTCTGGTTGCTGCCACTGCACCCCGCTGCCCCCCTCCTGCACCCCGGGTGCTGCTGAGCCCTGTGAGGAGCTGCTGGCCTGCAGCACAGAGCTGCCATCTCACTCTGCCCCAGACCTGGGCCCAACGCACAGGCAGCCCAACTGCCTGTTGCCCACCTTCCCCCTGGCAGCCTTGATCCTGCCCCTGGCCCCGGTGCTGTTGCTGCGACAGGGCTCCCTAATCTCCGTCTGCCTCACACAGGGATGAAGATGAGATCTATGATGACGTAGAGCCCGTTGGGCTGATCAGGAAAGGCCAAGGCATTTTGCTGCCCACCATGTCCTGGCTGCCAGCACATCCTTGCCCCAGAGGAGGTGGGTACAGGAGGGGCCGGGGTGCTGGTCGGGGTGAGCACTGCAGCTCGGGGAGCCTTGATGCCCACTGAGCCATGGGCAGCAGCAGAGCCGCACTGAGCCCGCCGCTCCCGTGCATGGGAGGGTGATGGGTTTCTCTGCTGCCTTGTAAAATGGGCACGGGAAACCCCGACCCCGCCACACTCGGGGGCAAACTCAGGGTTCGGCCCCAGGAGAAGGCTCATGTTGCTGTTTCAGTCTTGTGTCCTGTCTCCACCTTGTAGCAGCCTCACAGCAGCACCTCTCCTGGGGTTTGGTTTTACAGGTGGAGGTGCTGGTCGAGCCTCCAAGAGGGTTGCCTTGCCGGCAGCTGCACAGAGGTAACGGGGGTTTTTACTCTTTCTAAGGGTCCCAAAATGGCCAAGGGCTTCCTGCTGCTCTGACAGAGCTGGTGGTTTAACGTCTCTGTTAGAAATGTCCGCGGTGAAGAGTGCAAGTGGCAGGTTGAAACCTGGCCCAGGGGTCCCAGCAGCCCCCGAGCTGGTGCAGAGGAATGTGGTGGGGCAGCAGCCCGGGCTGTGGCGAAGGGGAAGGGAGGGAGCAGAGCGGGGGTCAGCTGAGCTTTCCTCTGACTCTCAACGACTCTGCAGAGAAGCCCAAGTCTCCTGGAAGGTGAAGCCAATGACACTTAAGGAATGCAAGAAGGAAGAGAAGGTGGACAGGGAGTTCCAGAAGAAATTCAAGGTGAGCAGCAATGAGTGACTGCTTATCCCTCCAAGCTCCCCCTTCTCCTCCCGGGAAGGGTGCGACGTGGTGGCGGAGAGGAGCTGTGCTCTGCAGAAACCAGCTGCTACCCCGGTCACACCCGCCCTGTTCCCCACTGAAACACCCCCAGATCTGACCAGTCCCGCTGACCGTTGGCTGGAGAGGGATCTGCTTTCTCCCAGAAGGGAGAGTGGTTGGAGCTGCCCACCTCACACTCCCCTGGGGCAACTGCCAAGCTGCAGCTCTGCTGTTTGCGTTTCAGTTCAAAGGAAGCATCAATGTCCTGACTCAGATGATGGTTGACCCCGCAGCAACGGAGAAGAGGGGCGGAGGGAAGAACCTGCCGCTAAGACGAGGAGAAATTCTTGATGTCATTCAGTTCACAAATCAGGAGCAAATCCTCTGCCGAAACAGCCAGAGAAGGTGTAAGTCTGGGGGGCTGAGGCTTTGCCTGCAGTGCAGATCACAGCACACACTTTTGGGAACAATTCCTTCATGTGCACACACCCCAGTAGACAGCAGGAGACATCCCCTTGCTGTCAGACAGCCCTGACATGTACCCTGGCTCTCAAATGTTCCCACTTCGCTTCTGCACAAACGTCCAGTTCTTCCTCCCAGTCAGCACCAGCAGTTCTGCTGTTAGCTGGGCTTGTCTTCTCCCCCTGCCACAGGCCTTGGCAGCTCCCGAAGCCTCTTGGCTACCGGCTCGGCACATAAGGCTTTGCTGTAGGCGCGGGCTGCACAAGCCACGTCTGCGTGGAAGGATGCTCAGATGAAATGGGCTGCAGAGCCCCAGGCAGAGAGATGGGGCTCGGGCTCTTCCCAGCCAGCTGCCACCCAGCCTGGCAGGCTTGTTCCCTGTGCAGCCCAAGCAGGTTCTTCCCAAGGGTCTAGCCTGGCTTCCCAGAGCCGGGCTCCTCCGTGCTCCCAGCTCTCCCTGGGCCTGTGAGATGTTAAACTCTGCCTGTCCTGAGCAGGGGCAGGTGCTGGGGTGAGACCCCGCTCATGCCCTGGTTCCCGACACAACCTGGCGTACTCTTCCTCTCTCTGTTGCAGATGGCTATGTGCCCCGGGCTGTGATGCTGCACCTGTGAGTATTCCTTCCCTGGCCCCTTCCTCCCCTCTCCAGCTGTAGCAATTGCCCAGTGAACGCCCAGCACCAAACCAGCCCTGGCCATTGGGTGCCAACTCAAAAATACCCGAGCCGGGCAGTGACCATGAGCACAGCACCGGCCGGTTACCCTGGGAGTGGAATCTGCCATTTCTGGTGTCAGCAGAGGTTCTGATACGGGGAGCAACTCCCTGGGGTGCTGTGAGCACGCCCCAAGCTGTGGTGTCTCCCATGGGACCTGCTCAGGTGCTGCGGCTGCACGTCGCAACGGGCCAGCGCTGCCCCTCTGTGCAGCCGGGTCTGTCCGTGGCTCTCAGCAGCCGGGACGAGGCCACCATCCACGTGCAGCGTGAGGGGGCCAGAGCCGTGCTCACCCCGCGCCGCAGGGTCCCATCGCTGCAGGGAAAGCGCAAAGCTGGGCAGGGGTGAACGGGGCTGGGCGGTGGACAACCGGTGCCCGTAGACATGTCGGGAGAGACGGGACAGATGCAGCAGCAGGAGCTGGCCCTTGCCTTGGTGCCAGGATCGGGGGGATGTGGGAGACCAGACTGCTCACAGCACCCCGTCTTCTTCCTCACAGGGACACTGACATCTATGACGACGTTGAGACTTTCGGTAGGTGAGGAAGGAACCGCTGCTGCGGCCCTTTGCCAAGCGCTGGGCACTGCTCCCCGGCAGGGGCGGGCAGCAGCCGTCCCCGAGCTGGCACCAGAGCCTTCCCCTCCTGCCCCCTTCCCCACCCTCCCTCTCTCCCCTCCCTCTCTGTGATCCCTCTCCCTCTCCCTCTCTCTGGGACATCCCTTCCTTCCCCCACATGTTCTCATGTTCCTCCATTCCCAAGTATTTGGACTCCCTGAGCCCTTCTCAGCTCGCTCCCTGCTCCTGCTGCCAGCCCCAGGGACCGACCCTTCAATGTCCTTTGAGATGTTCCTGATCCCCCAGACAACTCGGGATGCCCTTTCCCAAGCAGCTGCTCACTCCTGGCTGCAAACTCTATCTCCCAGCTCACAGAAGGCTCTGAAGAGGCAGCTGAACGGAGACAGCTGTATTTTAGCTGTGCTGGCGAGCAAATATTTTATCTAATTCTGCCTGGCAGGTTGAGTGATCCATGCTAAAGCCAAAGGAACAAGACAGCACCGACAGAGAACTCCCCAAGGGCTGACATGTGAGAAGCACTATACGCCACGCTCCTGCTTTGGGAGGAGCTCTGCTCTCTCTGAGAGCCTGCAAAAGCCACCGTGTTCCTGCCAGAACAGCGGCGGGGCTGTTTGACGTGCTGCGGCACTGCGGGGATCCTGTCCCACAGGGGCAGGGGGTTCAAAGAGATCCGCAAGTCAAGTCTTCTCTGTGCCTTTGTTCTGTCTGTGTAAACCATGGCGAAGGTCTGGGAGGGTCCTGAGGTCTTATTTGGGGGGGGGT